GTTGTTGTAGAAGTAGTAGTAGTAGTCGTGGTGGTAGTAGTAGTAGTAGTAGTAGTGGCAGCATAGTAGTAGTAGCTGTTGTTGTAGCAGTACTACTACTACTACTACTACTACTGCTACTACTGCTGCTGCTGTTGCTGTTGCTGCTGCTGCTACTACTACTACTACTACTACTGCGAACAGACTTCCATGCCTCCTACAATTCGTGGGCGTCACGATATGAGCTACATGAGTGACCATCACTGGGCTGCCTTGCAGACTGTGACTCATCGGCCAACCAACCTACTCTCCTGCTTTCCAGAGCGTAGAAGTGGCGCGTTTTCAGTGCTCCGCCTATGCGCAACTTTGGCTCAGGAAAAATAGCCATAAGCCTGCGATGTACTTGTTGGCTACAGATCCATACAGTGTGACCCATTGCGCGTGCACAGACCTTCGACGGCACGCTGTCCGAGAAAAGTGTCCGTTGAGTGCCTGCAAGGGTACGGGCGATTGATAGTGAAGACAACGTCTACTACGTCTACAACAGGCAACCACATTCAACATCAAAGCGCTCGGTGAGATGGGCAACTCGAACTTTATCAACAACAAATCCTCACGCAGGTTATCAGCCGTAGGCTCTGCCTACCGGAGACTGGTCGATGATTATCCTCACTCAGTATGACGTAACCAACAATTTCCTGCAAGGTCTTGGGTTGCTTAACCAACATCTTGTTTTGGCAAGCAACATCTCTTTCAAGGGTTCTGGGTTTTGCAAGCAACATCCGGTCAACCAGCAACGCGTGCAGGCCCCGCGCCTCACGTGCATGCGCGATTTGCGTCCAACGTACACGCGCCCCTGGCATGTAACTTGCACGCGCGGTGCCCGAAACCTGCGAAAATGAAGTCTCAAAGCCGTCTGGAAGATGAATCCCTAAAGCGAGGAAGGCAGAGCAAGCCCTAAACTAGCCCCCAAGAAGTGGTCATAAAGTCGCAACGAACATGAAAACTCAAAGTGCGGAAGGCAGATCAAACCCTAAAACCTCTGACATCGTCCGGAAAATGAAGCCCTAAAGCGATGAAGTTAGAGCAAACGTGAAAATCGTCCGTAAGAAACCTTATTGCGAGGAAGGCAGAGCAAATCCTAAAATCGTTACCAAGAAGATGCCTGCCTGGCTGGGTGGGAAGACTTGCTGGGTGGGAGGCTCTGTATGCCAGCCGTAAACCTGTGTTTGGGTATTAAGTCCTACACCAGACCCTTTGTTTTGGTCCCATGAAGTGGAAAATCGTAACCCTATTCTAGACCCATTTTCGTGCCGTGAAGTGCACATACGTTGGTTGTTGTTTACTAAACGGGATCCTGTGTGCGGCTCAGATGCGCGTTGGATTCTTTTGCATGTGCGCCTTAAGCGCGCTGGCCTCTCCTGTGGGGTTTTTGGTGGTTCGGCAACCAATGTTTCGGTTTAGGGATGTTTAGGGTTTACGGTTCGGTCTCCTTTTCGGGCTCTGGAAAATTGCAGCCAACATCTCCTTTTAGGGTTTTGGGATTTGCAAGATTTTGCAAGCAACATCTGCTGTTGGGATTTGGGTGCAGCAACCAACATCTCCTGTTAGGGTTTTAAAAATGGCAAGCAACATCTTCCTTTTCGGCTTTAACGTCTCTCCATCAACATATCATTTTTTGGGTTTCGGGTTTCTCATCCACAATATTTCCTTCAGGGGGTTCCGCACGGCAGCCCACATCTCCTGGATTGTGCTGGGGTTTGGCAGGCAACATCTCCTTGTGGGTTCTGGGTTTTCCAAGCGTCATCTCCGTTTCAGGGTTTTGGAATGGCAAGGGTTGTGGGCTGAGTCCACTTTTAGGTTTCTCGGCTTTTCAACCGGCATCTGAATTTAGGGTATTGTGCTTTCGGCAACCAACATCTCCTTTCGCGGCTTTGTGTTTCTCAACCAACCTCTCCTTCTGTGTCTCTGGATTTCTCAGTCAACACGTATTTTTACGGCTTTCAGTTTAGGGTTTCTCATGCCTTTTTTCGTTTCTTGGGTTCTGAGCTTTGCAAACAGCGTTTTTTTTCCTAGGTCTTTGGGATTCTCAACCAATATCTCGCTAGGGGCTTTCTCAAGCAACATCTCTCCTGAGGGGTTTGGGTGCGGCAACAAACATCTCTTGTGTGTCGTTTCGGAAATGGTAAACACCATCTCCCTTTCGGGGTCTGGGGGTTCTCGATCGGTTCTTTAAGGTTATGATGGGTTTCTTAACCAACATCTCCTTTTAGGTTTGTGAGCATCATCTTCTTTTTGGCGGTTTTGGCCTGCGGCCTGGGGCCTGGGGCCCGCGGCCTGGCCGCTGCCCGCGGCTTCTGACCTGGTCCTCTGCCCGGTTTCTCCTGACGTCAGGAAAGTTTCCACTGTGACGTCAAACCTTCGCCTCCGGTGGCTATTGGAAGCTCGCTGGTAACAGCACTACCAATGCAATTAGTCAACTGAGTCATTGTTGCTCAGGAAAGACTGCTGCACGATCTTAGCATTTTCGAACTGGTCTTGTTCTTTCCTGTCTTGCCTTGACACTCCCATCTCTGATCCCAGAGACTGCAAGTTGCAGGAGGGACAGTTGGAGCAACTTCTGGTTTTTTCGTGTGATCCAATGACCCAATCGACTCGATGGAAGCACAGAACTATTCAATCAACAGAAGCTATCCATTTCGACGTTTTATTTGCCATCGCTTCTGGGTGTCAGCACTGGGGCATTGGAAGGTGCTGATGACAGCAGCAGTGGAGTCTCTTGGCAAGCTTCACAAAGGGAGATTGTCAATAAGTCGGAGTTTCGGCCAGATGGCAACTTCTGTGCTCTGGCGCATTGCATGCGCTTGCCGTTCGAGCCCAAGCTTGCTGCGCCAGAAGTCGCCCTCCTGGCTTCATGACAGGGCTGCGGAGGAAGATCCCTCGAAGGACGATGCGGATAAGGCATCGTACTAGTCCACACGAGTTAGCCAAACACACTCAGCTGATCAGCTGTGCTGTGCATCAACATGAAATATTGCATTGTGTTGTTACTTGCCGAGTTGGGGTCTTGCTCACAGTTTGCCTGCAGGCCTCTACCGGTGCAGCGACGCCGGCAAAGCAAGAGAAGCCATCAGCGGAGTCAGAGAGGAAAGATGTCAAGGCATGCATCTCAAGGGCAGTCGAAACTACAGATCCTCCAAAATGAGTTGTAAGAAAAGGCTGTATCATTGCACAGGTGCGTGTGCGCATCTTGTCGCAGTGGCAGGGATTAGAACCAAGACTGCCGTGTACAGGCACTCGCAGAGAAGCTGGCGGAGAAACTGCATGAGAATGCGCAGGCATCAGATTCTTCGGGCTTACCATGTTTTTTGCGAGGATGCGAGCACGGAGCAAGTTTGAATGCAGCTGTTAGGCCCCCGTTGCCCTGGAGACTCAGTCAGTGTATTTGTTTAAACCACCTGCAGTCTATAACTTAAACATGAAGGCAGTGAAAGGTGAATGCCGCACAGCACACCGTTTGGGGCTTTCGCCGGGACAGCATACATTATGCCGTAGGTGCGCCGGTCTGTCTTGGCGTCTCTGTCCATGTCTGGGTTTGTGGGTGTGCCTGTGGGCTTGTCACTAGGCGCAGAGCAGAATGTCACCACATGAAGCCCCTTACGAGCTCACCCCCCCTTCGAAGGCAGGACGCCCGGTGAGTGGACAAAGAAGTCGGACCAGCAGCCGTTCGGATACCAAGTTTCCTTACCTGAAGCCCAGGTTGCTGATGGTTGTTGCAATATGGCACAATGGTCCGTTGCAAGTTTTGCGGTCAAACGAGCTGCTAGGTTTGAGATCATACTGAACAGCCGGCCCATGTTGATCATATTCTGGTTACCAGTTGGTGTTCGGCAGTTCATTAGCCTGAAACTGAGTTGACCCTTGTGAACATCTGTTGTTGGCATCGTAGAAATGCTGAGCCGCTAGATCTTGCATTCGCATTTCCAGGTCCTGGTTCAGCTGCCGTCAGGGTTGCGGTGGGGAGCTTTTCTTTTGTGGAGTCTTTAACTCGGAGTTGCCTACAACTCCGTGGCCTGGCTTTGGAACTCCGTCATTCTGCCAGAGGTGTCTCGTGCCGGCTCGAAAGCTGAGTCGGAAAGACGAGAGACCAAGGTCGGGGATGTCACGCAGTTGTATGGGTTCCATGCAAAATGCCCGCGTGCAGTAAGCCAAGTCCGGAACACGGTAAAGCCAGTTTCAGCGACCCTGTCAGACACCTGCGGAAACACTCGAGGAGAAGTTCCGCGAGAGTGGACAGGCGCAGACAGATAGATCAAGACGTGGCAGTTTGTCCATTTAGTCTGCCCGGTGAGCCGATGTTTCGAGAACTTTAGAGACATGGGAATCTGGAGGCGAGCCGTCCGGTGAGCCGCTCTGCAAGTCGCCCCACGAGTGGACGAAGCCGAGCAAGTCGTGTGGATGCCTGGATGCGATTTGCTGTGCCCGCTGCCAGCAGCTGCCAGTGAAGTCCTGAGGAGTGCAGACTCAAACGGATCTAGTTTGAAGCGGCTGTGCCGAAAGGTCCTGGCTCTGCAGCAGCTCCCAAGGCAGCAGCACAGACCTCAGTTGCAGCTTCTGAAGCCCACACCTTCATCACTAATTACACCCCTGGCCCAAGCAGCTGTTGGTGGAGGTGTTACCGCTCAGTGCCCAGTAAGTGAGCTCCGGCTGTTCTGGACGGAATCTGGAAACCGTGTGTCGCATCAACATCTTTAGACAGTTCAGAGCCAGAAGAAGTCAAAAGTGTTTCCGTTGCACTTGAGCCACCGAGTTGCGGTTCCCTCTGTGGGAGATGTCCCGTCGGTTCATAGCATGTGGATGTGCATGCCATTGTAAGTTAAGCCCCGATCCATTCCGATAAGCGTGCGTTGCATCAGGAAAATAATGCACCATGCATCTGCGGCCAGGCGACTTGAATATGCATGCGGTGTACCTGCTGTCACCTGACTAAGGCGGCGGCTGCCCTCGCCGGCGCCGTGACGCCTGGCTCTTGCATGCCATTACAGCGCCATCTGCTTCCGCACCAACTGGCCCGTCGTCATGTTACAGGCTGCCATCAAGCCCGAAGTTTTCGCAGAAGACCCCCCTGGCAGACAAGGCGGGCAACTTCAGCATGAAACCAAGATGGAATATCCAGATGCAGCCAATAGCTGGGTGGGTTGGGGGGGGAGGCAGTTGTTGTTTTTTTTCCCGGCCCCCTCTCCGGGAAAAGACGACAGCTTCCCCTCCTGTCGTTACTCTCACCCCCTCCTGCTGCCGAGAAAAACCTACAACTCCCTCCCCATTGTTGTTCTCGCCTCACCCCTTTTGGGTTGCTCTCCCCGCCTACTGCTGTTCTCCTCTTTCACTCCTCTCCATGGTAGTGCTAGTAGTGGTGGTAGCAGCAGCAGCAGCAGCAGTAGTAGCAGTCGCAGTTGCAGTAGCAGTAGCAGTCGCAGTAATTAGTAGCAATAGTAGCAGTAGTAGCAGTGGTAGCAGCAGCAG